AAACGTAAACAAACAATAATAATGGTCGGCTATTCGGTTTCCAAGCACACCCGTCTACGAGGGGGTATAGCCAATCCTTGTTTCAAAGACGGCTCAGCAGGACCGGTGTAAGGGTCTCGTGGGCTTCCCTTAAATCTATGATACGGGACTCCCCACTCTACTAAATCTCAATTTTCATAAGGTAGTATTCATATAAAATACAAATCTTATGTAACCTAATTATGTACAATAATGGATTATATGCAATATAGGTGAACAATTCAACTAAAAAAAACTGAAAATAAATAGAATTTATCTAAATTCAAAATAGAAACATGTTATAATAGATCATTGCATTTTAAAGAAATCAACAATGTTTTGCGGCAATTTTTAATATCAGCTTGGGATTTTCATTGTTGAAAAGTTTATTGATTTTATCACACTCAACATTATGGATCAAAATAGTGAATATTATCTAGTGTTATTTTTAAGACTTCGCATGCGCAAAATAAATTCACAGATTTGGACGAAAAAAAAAACGAAACAAAAAGACTTTAAAATCCATGGAGATTTTTCATCCTTTAATAGCCATTTATGCTTAGTTTAATTTGTAACATATATAAATATAGGTAAAAAAAAAAATAAATAAATGTTGATAAGATAGCACTGTTAGGGGCTCCCAATCAGGCTTGAGCCTCTAGGATCGAGAGACTCAGGGGTCGTACGCACTGGTTCTGCTTCTCCTCTGTTTGTCCTACAACCACAGAGGCCATCTTGGATTTATACTGAAACTATGCAGAGCAGACATTAGTTACAGTTTCTGGGAGAGAGTGCATAATCTAACGAGATTAAGCCCAGTCACGCTCAAACCCTCAGTCACAATGACTTGTGACTTCATGCTATCACAACCATCGACGGCTTTTGAGCACTTCCGTTTACCCGTTTTCACTCACAAGGTTTGGTTCAACCCGTGGCATGGTTTACAGACACTTTCGAAAAATTCAGCACGTCTCTCCTCGTCGATAACGTCAATAAGTCCCCTTTCTGACAAATCAATCATCCTGTGATTCGGGTTTCATAGTCGGAAAGCGAATGTTCGGCCACGCACCGAATATACCATCGGTCTAAGTATTAACCATACGATTTTAGGAGTAGGGGGTTAAATTTAAAAAAAAAATGCTTTCTGCTTGTACCGAAACTATTTTAGGGACACATAGAATACAAGCAACGTATTGCTTTCTTCTTAAACTTGTATCAACTATTGCCTTTTTTCAGTAATGTTCATTCTGCACAAGGCCCGAGAGTCACTCGAGGCAGAGGATCAGTGTAATAGGAACTGCTGATGCAGATATGTATGTAAGATAACGGTTAACCCTATACTTGAACAGTTTAAGATTGTAGTGAACGGGGAAGCAACCTCTTGGCAGTCGGTTCCACAAGGCAGCGGTTGGTGGGAAGAAGCTACTCGATTGAAACATTCATCTCACCAGGGGAATACGAAGGAAAAGATGGTGATCTGCTACAATGTGTGTGGCACGGCGGGAAAATAGCGATAGAGCAGTGAGCAGTGAAAGTGGCTGCAGAGGGAAAATAATTCGTCACCTAAAACACTATTGAGAGTGGAAAAGTGAAGACTAGGCAACTCCCGTCCATATATGTCATTTTTGCAAGGTTTGGTTCCTCATCATTTATGTCCCTTCAGGCTATCATGACTCAACAACTTCCTGTCCTTTGTAACCCTAAACAATATTGATTCTTTACCCTCTCTACTTGTCACTACTATGTCAGCCATTCACATTAGGTAAATTGCTTACTGTTTCCCTCTACTGCTTCTTAACTCAATACACCCTGTGAATATTACATTTTCCAAGCCATCCCCCCTCATAAGAACTCTTTCAACTGTCTCTTTTGGTTGCTTTCGTAGAGTAGAGCGTTCATCTCCTCTCCAGGCAAGTCTCGATTGGGTTATTTAGAAGTGGTCATCTGCTTTCCAAGTTACGTGTTATTTGGTGCCATCAAGTAAGTAATGCCTGCTTTTTTTCCTATAGGGAGAAGTAATTTCATGCCTTTCTCAAGTGCAAAGTGAACACAAACAGAACCGAAATTTGAACTTAGTTCGCCTGTCATATTTTTCTCCTGTTAACCGTCAGATCATTTACATAAGCACATAATGTATGAATTTATAATGCATATACTCACGGTATTAAATCCTCCCCATATTCCTCAGAAGCTGTTCAATCTAGGACCGTTTCAGTTAGCGTATATTCAAAATGCAGAAACGCCTGGCGAGATTCGAAACAACAATGGTGACAAACCATCCCCATGAAGAGATGTATTACTTTGACAAAAAGCAAGCTTCTTCCCCAGAACTGTTACTTCGCGGAACACACTCCTGAGAGAATGCTTCCCTGAACAACTAGAATCTTGGTGGCTTTAGATCAAGGGTCAACCGACAAGCTTAACAGGCTGGCTTTAAGATGACTGAACCCACGTTGGCTCGATGCTTGGTTAATCTATTCTCGTCTTGTCAAAGACTGCAAAGTCCATCTCAACACCACATTGCTGGTTTTGCAAGTCACAACGACGTTTTTAATTTTCTTCTGAATTCTTTAAAAACATCGTTAAAATTTGTTTATTTTATTCACCGTGATTTAATTATTAAATCATAGAACAGTGTAAAAATGTATTCCTCTGAAAATGTTTTTAAAAAAAAAAGTACAAATATATATACCGTATATACTCGCGTATCATACAACTTTTGAAGACGTAATTTTGAAGTTAATTTTAAGGGGGTCGCATCATACATGAGATGTAAAATTAGCATATGTACTGCTGGTCCTGGTTACTTTGTTGACCACTGTACTGTAGACAAATTAGCTTCAAAATTAGGTTTTCAATTGTCGCATTATACGCGAGTATATGCGGTAAATATAGATAAAATAATATCTACTTAATATAATGATATTTCCAATGGCGGTCTTAAACTCTTAAATCCGGTAATGTAACTTAAAAAATAGTCCTTTATAGATTTCTTCTTTAGTAAAGTATAATAAGTATAAACTCAGAACATAAGCGTTAAATTTGTTTTGACATTATATCGATCATTCTTAAAAATAAAGACAATCATCGATGTATTTTTTTTAAATATCTTTTTTAAGAAAAATAAATAAAAGTAACAAATAAAGAAGAGCTTGTTTTTTTAGAAAATAAACCTTGAAGTTCTAAGATTATGCATTATGAAAATAAACTTTGAAGTTCTAAGATTATGCATTTTCATTATGAAGAGTAATTCGAACAAGTATCTTGATCTTTGTTGTTTTTATCCCGAGATCATATCGACTGAAAAGTTGCGGTAAAAATAAAAATTGGGGCTGTTTGTCGTAATTATTCGTGGAATATTAGAATATATCAAAATTATTTTCGTTTTGATAGACCTTTATTTCAAAGCTTATTTCATCTACATGACTGAGAATAATATATATATATATATATATATATATATATATATATATATATATATATATATATATATATATATATATATATATATATATATATATATATATATATATATATATATATATATATATATATATATATATATATATATATATATATATATATATATATATATATAAATATGCATCCTCCGGCAGTTCACTGTGGCTGAACAGTCATAGCACGGTCAGGATAAATGATGGTTCCGTATAGGATACAGGTTCGATTCCTGTCGGAGGACGCATATTGTCTATGAAATTTCTCGAACATTCAGGCTGGTAAATGTAACTAATACTGTTTAATTAAAAAACAGAGCATTCACTCAAATAAGAGTACATACATACATACATACATACATATATATATATATATATATATATATATATATATATATATATCACATACATCTATCTATATATATATATATATATATATATATATATATATATATATATGTATGTATGTGTGTTCGTATGTGTGTGTGTGTGTGTGTATTAGCTATCTGCATAATGAAGCATGTAACTATTGAAATTCTGTGAGTTTTGCGTTAGTTTAAACTCGAACTCAAAATTGGTGATCTGATCGCAGACTTTGGGGAGTGGAAGATATTGAACAACTATCATGCAGTACTTGCCATAGCAGGTAATGATTTGTCCCTTGAAATAAACCCCATCAGTTGTCAGTTATGATGCTTTAATATGCCAATTAATGAACCCGATCAGTAGTACTTGAAAACTTACAAACAGTAAGGGCCAAGGAAAGATACCATTTACTTAAGCTTGTTACAATAGAGTTCATTTAAAATAAAATTAATTTTGACTCATTTAATAATAATAACGTTTACTGCAATAAATTATACGTTATTTTTTCGCTCACACTGTAAAATTTAAAGACATATTGTAGTTATCGATATCTCTATGGAATTAACCTTACCGTTCATTTGATTAATAATAATAATGTACAAGAATCTGAAGTGGTCAATTTTGAACAAAAGAAGTGTGAAAATCTTAAATGTAGAAAGAAAAAGAAAGAAAGAAATAATGAGTATTACGGTTGCACATGTGCCGATAGCAGATGTATACATACACATATACATCTCTTTCTCTCTCACATACGCACACATATGCATGGACGTACATAACTACATACACTAATGTAACTATGTATGTATACAGTCCTTATGCGCAGACGCAATAAAAAAATTTAAAAAATACCCAAAAGAGTAACAGTAGTAAACCTATTTAAAGCTAATACACAAAAAAAAATAAAAGTATAGATGATAATAATACTAATACTAATAATAATAATAATAATAATAATGATAATAATAATAATAATAATAATAATAATTCTGATACTACTACTAATAATAATTTGTTGAAAAAAGAGAGGAAGAAAGAAAAGAAGGAAAAAAGAAAAAGGCGAAAAAAATGGAAGAAAAAGAAAGAACGATATATTTTTTCGGCAAGGCAGCAGGTTTGCTGGTTGAAAGCGCAGTAGTGGTAAGATTTCACGTACTCAGCATGGCCAACGGGAGATGGGCGGGCCCTGGCAGAATTACTGCTAGTGTCAGTCACCTTCGATCGTTGGGCAGGTCCAGAATCAGCATCCCCAAACTATCAGCCCACTGTAAAAGCCCAGCCCCCAAGCGCCATTGGATTTCTCGTTTCGACGAACAGCAACGCTGGGCAGAATCTCTGGCTTCTGATTGGTCCGTCGATTTATGCAGCAATATAAAACATCTCTCGCCGCCCCAAAGGTGGTTGGCAAAAGCCTGTTCGGCTTTTAAGTCCACGTTTAAGTAGTCTCTGTTATAAAATCTAGGATACCTTGTGCTGTCTGCCTTCTAGGGTTGCGGCACAAGTGCAGATCCTTGGAGGTTTCCTTCTTATTCCGGGTAGGAACCCCTATTTTATAAAGAAACTTACTAAGAGTGTCGCTGCGTTCTTGCAGCGGCCCACTGTTTAGTAGACATCATGAAAACATCCATTCGGTGGAGGATTTACTTCCTCGGGCTTCTTTTAGCTGTCACTACGGTTACGTCTCAAGAGAATGAAGTTGGAAAGGGTGAGTTGCAGCTTGACTTTAATTTTGACTTTTCCATTCCATATTAAAACAAATGAATGAAAATAATCGATAAAGAAGCTAATATTATTCGGGTGTCTTAGTGCCTATTATTGCATTAAAAACAAAACAAAAACAAACAAAAAAACAACAACATGCAAATGTACATATTACTTTAAATGTTGCCAAAAGGAAAAATGTTTCAAATTTTGTAAAAAAAAAAAAAAGAAAAAGAAAAAAAATTAATTATCAATTTAAAAGATTGCATCAGTAAAAAAAAATAAATTTATCCCACGAAAAGAAAATTATTATTATTAAATTATTATTATCATTCATTATTCCGGAAGTAAAAATTAAATAAACAAAAGAAAAGATAATGGAATGTAACATTATATATATATATATATATATATATATATATATATATATATATATATATATATATATACATACATATATATATATATATATATATATATATATATATATATATATATATATATATATATACATACATACATACATACATATATGCATACATATATATATATATATACATA